GTGGGTTGAGCACTAGATGGAGATTGTGAGATACAAGTTCTAGCTGTGTGATTACTAAAAGACACATAACTTCTCTGGGCACTGGTGCCTTCATCCATAAAATGAGGAGTGGTGTGTGTGCGTGCGTGTGCGTGCGTGTGTGTGTGTGTGTGTGTGTGTGTGTGTGTGTGTGTGTGAGAGAGAGAGAGAGAGAGAGAGAGACTGACTGCACCCAGACTTGAATTCTAAGTTACTCTGGCTACTGGAAAAAACATGAAACTTTTCCATGAGTTAACAGAATGCAGGGGTTGGGTGGGGAGGTGGGGTGGGCAGGGTGTGTGCCACCGATCATTTAATTGTCAAATTCAAGAACAATTTTGGTCATCGCCTTACTTAAATCTCATTTTTCTGAATCCTCTACTGATTATCTCCTTAAAACTCTCTTTCTTTCATTTCATAGGATAATTATCTCATTGTTTACCTCATTTCAATCTTGGGCTTTTCCTCCATCAAACCCTTAAGTATCCAGAATGCCAAAGATGGCTCCAATGTGACACGGTCCGGATGATGATGAGGAATCAGCAAAGGAGTCTGAGAAGCTGCAGTTTGTGTGAAAAATCAGGGAACTGTATGTCCTAGAAGGCAACTGAAGAAGTGTGTGATAGTATGTCAAATGCTGCTGATACATTAAGTAAGATGAGTACTGAAAATTGTCCACAGGATTTAGAAACATCGAAGTCATTGGCGACCTTGACAAAAATAGTTTGTGTAGCAGCTTTAAGAGAAAATAGTAGGAACGAAATTGGAAGCAACAGTTATAAACAACTCTTTCAAAAGGTTTTGCTACTAAGAGAAAAAACAAGAGACGAAAAGAAGTAAGGCAGCAGNCTGTCACTTTTTACTGCTGTCAGTGAGCCTGCCTTTATCACACCCCCAGTTAGATGCTGCTAATCTGCTGTCAGCTGAAAAATCATCTAATCAAGACCTCTGAAACTGAATTTACAATAAGTGGTGGGTTGAGCACTAGATGGAGATTGTGAGATACAAGTTCTAGCTGTGTGATTACCAAAAGACACATAACTTCTCTGGGCACTGGTGCCTTCATCCATAAAATGAGGAGTGGTGTGTGTGCGTGCGTGTGCGTGCGTGTGTGTGTGTGTGTGTGTGTGTGTGTTTGTGTGTGTGTGTGAGAGAGAGAGAGAGAGAGAGAGAGACTGACTGCACCCAGACTTGAATTCTAAGTTACTCTGGCTACTGGAAAAAACATGAAACTTTTCCATGAGTTAACAGAATGCAGGGGTTGGGTGGGGAGGTGGGGTGGGCAGGGTGTGTGCCACCGATCATTTAATTGTCAAATTCAAGAACAATTTTGGTCATCGCCTTACTTAAATCTCATTTTTCTGAATCCTCTACTGATTATCTCCTTAAAACTCTCTTTCTTTCATTTCATAGGATAATTATCTCATTGTTTACCTCATTTCAATCTTGGGCTTTTCCTCCATCAAACCCTTAAGTATCCAGAATGCCAAAGATGGCTCCAATGTGACACGGTCCGGATGATGATGAGGAATCAGCAAAGGAGTCTGAGAAGCTGCAGTTTGTGTGAAAAATCAGGGAACTGTATGTCCTAGAAGGCAACTGAAGAAGTGTGTGATAGTATGTCAAATGCTGCTGATACATTAAGTAAGATGAGTACTGAAAATTGTCCACAGGATTTAGAAACATCGAAGTCATTGGCGACCTTGACAAAAATAGTTTGTGTAGCAGCTTTAAGAGAAAATAGTAGGAACGAAATTGGAAGCAACCGTTATAAACAACTCTTTCAAAAGGTTTTGCTACTAAGAGAAAAAACAAGAGACGAAAAGAAGTAAGGCAGCAGCAGAAGGGAAAAATGGAATCAAAAGAAAAAAGTTTTAAAGATATAAGAAATAATAACACTTTTTGTATGCTAACAGGAATGGTCCAGAAAAAAGGATAATAAGAACGGTTCAGAAGAGAGGAAAACTGATGATACATAATAGAGACAGAAAAATTGCTACAGTAGTCCTTGAGTAGGTGAGAAGGATGGGTTTTGGCAAAGAAGTGGAGATAAGGTCTTAGATAAAAACAAGATCAGTTCATACATGGGAACGAGTATAAAGATGGAGAATATGCACCCCAGAAACACATAATTGGGTAGATGGAGTGTTGACAACAGACAAAAGTTTTCTTCTGATTGCTTCTATTTTCTCAGCTATCAGCTGAGAATGAAGACAGAAAATTTGGTAGTAGAGTTTTCTTAAGAAAGGAGAAGGCGTGATTAATTATCTAGAAGGGGGAAAATTGGTATTTTGCCACATAGGTCAAAGGGCTCATCTGAATTTAGAGAAAATTTGGTAGTAGAGTTTTCTTAAGAAAGGAGAAGGCGTGATTAATTATCTAGAAGGGGAAAATTGGTATTTTGCCACATAGGTCAAAGGGCTCATCTGAATTTAGAAATCATGAGGTTGGAGCACGCTAATAAGTATGGTTGGATGTTTTTCTCTAGTGATGTTCAGTCCTATGAGTATAGGTAGAGAGTGAGTAACAAATGGATTTAACCAGGCTGGAAGTTTTGTCAATCATATATAAAGCAAAAGGTGTAAAAGATCTGAGAGCACACGCAACAGAGTAAGTATAATGATGGAATGTGTAAGAGCTTTCCTATCCCAAAGTATTTAATACATATAATGAAATATTTTCAAGATAATATTCTCTCTTGCTACTATTTTCCTGGTCTTTGGGAGTGAGGCAGGGGATGGACGAGAAGGGCAATAGGTAGCAGCAGGTGCCACAAGTCCAATGTTACTGAATACCTATGTGATAAACATGCCCTAAGTTTTAACAGATACCAATTCTATAAATTCTTGCTTACTTTGTTGGAAATATGGCTTTCCACTTCTCTGATTAATATACACTATATCATTTCATATCATATTACATATAGCACATTACATTAATAATTTAACTATATCCTCTGCTTTGTTTTTACTTAAATTCATTTTTGTCATGACCAAATAATATTTGTATAGGGAGAAAGATATAAGCATTCAAAAGTTGTTATTTTTTTAATCACCTCAGTTTTTCTGCCTTTGGAATTACTAAGTATTTTTAAACATCTCAACACAATAATACACTTTTAAAACTGCAAGCATCAGAATGACTGTCACTCGGGCAAATAATCACTTATACTATATGAGTCCAGATTGTATAAAGCAAATTACCATCTGAAAATAATTCAAATAATACTCTGGGCTAATACCTTGTTTATGAATGTTATCTTAGTCACAATATTTCTTAATCTTCTTCTATTTAGCTGAATTCCCTTATGGTAATATGGACCAAATTAATAAACTATTCAATTGTCAAAAGTGTATTAAACATATGATGTTGTAGGAACATATCAGATGAAAATAAATTTTAAAACATATTATTTACTTGGAATCCTAAAGCAGTAATAATTAAGGTAAGCTAGAACTACGTACTCAAAGATGTACATTTTGCATATACGGTATATTACATGAAAAGCTTAAAAATTTATGACAAAAATGAGGTTCATATTTTTAAAAATTCAGATATGTAACTATGTTTTAGCTAATGATGGACCAAAAGTTTAACAATTGGATCTTTCAAAAGTTAAACTTCTCTCATCACACATAAAAAGTTTTCTTATTTGTGTGTCTACAAATGCATACTATATATACATACACATATTTATAAATTTTTTTGAAAATCGATTGTGATCTTAGTTCCACTTAGCTTTATAGTTTTCAAAATAGCAAGTAAGTCATTAAATGTTTTTGATAAATGACCTATAATGACAAGAAGTTTGACCAGTAAACAGAAATTTGTATCAGAAGTCATAGGACCTAAACATTAACCCAGTCTGTGACAATGACAGGGTAAGTGCAAGAGAATCTACTTCTCTGGGTCTCTGTTTTCTGCACTCCATAAAGTAATGATTGGGCAAGGTGGTCTAACAAATTTTATGACTCACTAACTTGATTTGGTATGGGGCAGATTTCTCTTCAGTGAAATATTAACAAGTAAGACTCTCAAATAAATCAGCATCAGGGGAGCAGATGAGGACTACTGTCTCTATAGCAAAATCTTGGTGAACTCAGTAAGGGTACTAATGCTGATGACCTCCTGCATAGCATGCATGGATACTTAAATCATCCCATGCCTTCAATTCAGGGATGGGGAAGAAACAGCTGTCCCTGACTCTTTTTAAGGACTCAGTCAGTTACAAAACAGCAGCATCCCCAGCTAGTGTGAATCTCACCAAAGTAAACTTTCTATTTACAAGGGAGAAATACTCCCGATGATATTAAAAACAGTCTTGCTAGGTTTACTCTAAAGTGAAAAGGAATTCTAGAATGTTCCCTTAGAGCCACATCATCTATTGTTAATTCAGGGTGGTCCCACCAACAAGGGTAATAGAAAATGTCCTTAGCAACTGAGAAAGAGGCAGGGCAATTAAGTGCATCTCTAAACCAATATAGAAGACTTAACTCTTTATTAAGATAATATAAATAATAAAAAATGGAAGGAAAAAAATAGAAGGAAACAGCATGGAAATGAAAGTAATCCAAGCATTGAGATTTAAAATTGATTTATGTAGAACAGTTATTATTATAAATAAAAACTAATGGGCATAAGCAGAATTCAAGGTTGAGAAATATGTTTGAAAATAACTTCTGTAACAGAACAACAAATAAAGAAACAAAACAGTAAGTATTAAAAGCCAGAGCACTTTGCTTTGGCAAACAAATAAATGAGAGAGAAGAAAGGAAGAACTCAATATTTGAGTTAACCATTCAGTGATAGGTTGAGCACATGATTATTTAAAATCTTTGTAAGTCACAGCATGGTGAGATAGAACTCACTTCTCTAACCATGCTTATGCTTAGAAGTTAAAATTGGCAAGACGAACACCAATTGCTATACATTTGAGGAGTAATTTATGACACAATATTGAGAACAGAGTCAAACACACTAACCTGCTCACATCAGGAAACCTGATGGGAAAGTAAATAACTTGGCACTTGGGTCTGATGATGCTTTCCAGATCCTCAGGCCTGTGATCAGGAATCAGCTTTATAAATTTTCCAATAGAAGTGAGAAATGACTCCATATTAAAAACCGAGTTGAATACCACCACATCAGCCACCAGGCTATAAAGGAAAAGGATAAATGCACATGATGGGTCAAACTTATTTGGAGTTATTTTTTATGTCTAAGAACTCTGTGTATTATTCAGAGTTTATACCGAACCTCAGGTTTACAAAGAACTCTTCACTTCCCATCAGTATCTATCAAAATGTCTCTAATATATAAGTTAGTTTCATCAGTATTATATCACAGGAAGTTGGCTTGGTGGTATCAGGGAGGAAAGGCAACAGGGAAATTAAATGATTTAACGGGATCACATGAGTCTTCAAATCAAAGCATATTTTTCCACAATGCCAGGAACTTTCTATATTACAGGTTTAGCATCCCTAATCTGAAAATCAAAAACTTTCTGAGTGCCAACATGACATGACGCTCAAAGGAAATGCTCACTGGAACATTTTGGATTTTTGAATTAGGAATGCTCAGTGTGTGTGTGTGTGTGTGTGTGTGTGTGTGTGTGTGTGTGTGTGTATGAGAGAGAGAGAGAAAATATTCCAAAACCTTCAACCATTTGGGATAAGGGATATTCAACCAGTATCAACAACACTGAGTACAGCAGAACCTTCTTCTTTGTGGCCCAACTACCCATGTTGAGTTTCTATGTCAGTGATGTACATCATTTTACACCATACTATTGAGAACAGAACATCTGCCATACTTCTCCCTACCTTCAAGGAGACAAATTCAGATAAAGCTATTTTCATACTAGGGCATGATACTTTCAACACTATTTGGCTAAAGATTATTTCTTGCTTTAGTCTTTGCTTCAAAAAACTGTTAGATCTTTTAAAATTCTTGGACTACACAGGAAGGATTAAGGTATCTCTAGAAATAACTTATTTTACTATTACATTATATTTGGGGTATTCAGAGAAGTGGAAGAAATTAGCAGAAATGGATCCAGAAATCCATATCACTAGGTCCTACTGATTATGTCAAGAAATGTATTATAAAATACCGCAACACTATGGACCTTCAAAATAAAACAAATGTAATGTTGACTACTGTTTTCGATGAATAGACTGTGTTCCTCTCCTTAATATTTTTTTTAAAAAACAAAAATAATCTAAAATATATTGTTATAAGGAAATGTGAAAACAAAGTTTATGTGAAATAAACATAAGAGCAGTTTTCAGAACTGCCTACATTTTCTTTCACAGCAATGAACACAAATGATAACCATGAGGGAGCTGGATAAAACCTGAATGTGTAGTATGATTCCTTTATGAATCAAAAATTGATTTAATAAAGCACTATTTTGAAAAATGCCCTCTTTACTTTGACCAATGATTCAGTATCACTGAATCTCAATGAAATGCATACAAATGGTTTGATAAGAAGGTATTATAAGATTAAACAGATAAAGCAGCTAGTTGTATTTCACCCCAAAAATAATAGATCAATACACTAAAAAGAAGACACATAAGTCTACAGAACTGCAAAACACAACAGACTTATCAGATAGAAATGCCATAGTAAATCCTCGTATTAGTTTAAATCATATTTACTGAGATAGTCAAATTTACTATTATTAACACATAGCAGAATGAAAAACCAATGAAAGAATATTGACCTGTCACCCCCATGCCTCCCCTCAAAAGATAGCTTTTCCATACAAGTATTTTTTTTAGTTGCGATCCAGTGCAAATTTGGGGGGGGGGGAGGGTTGATTTCAACATGGATAATACAAAGGAATGTCACTGAAGTGCTGACACAACACTAAGCAATAAGAAAGCCAATATAATAAATAATGTATCAAAAGCTGAAGGATGTTTTACAGCTAGTCTGTTTTCACCATATGTCACATATTGTAATAGTGACCCACAGGTCATAATATATAGTTACGACATGTGTTCATAAGTCAGAGGGTTAGTGAAACCTCTGTTTAAGGTGAGTGCTTATGTCAGTCATCTTTAAAGTCCTTAACTGCTACATGGTCAAGAAAGAAATCTGACAGTGCCAACAAAAGCAGAAGTCAGCAAGAAAACTAAAGAAACATTTGAGGAAGAAGGAGTCACACTTTTCAATGAGAATCTGAACAGGACTTTATTTTTCCTCTGGACAACATGAACCATTTTTTTCCCATTAAGAAGCCAACTGATGATGAAGTCCACTTCTTTCTCTTCAAGTTTGTCTATCAGTTTACCTGCCTGAAAAGAGCAATGCTGGAAAATCATGTACAAGCTTTCACAGTCTCATTCTCTTTGAGCAAAAACAGTCTTTTACAAAAGAAAGGACGGGCAGTGAGCCAAATTTTTTTTTAGATATCTCCCTTCCAAGAGCATGTGACCCAACTACTTACATTCTTAAAAATCCAGTCTATGCTAAATTAAAGATCCAAGATAGTTTACGAAATATTCTTTTTGGTGCATTTCCTCTCTGATATGAGTGGGTGTAACTTCCATTAACTTTAAAGCCACCCATAAAGGGAAAAATAGATTTAATTTTTTTCCCAGTGATTTCTCAGGGGTAATAAACACATTATCTGAGGAAAAGAATGATGTTAATTCAAGAAATCAAAAGAATATTACAAATGTTTTCCATATTGATAAAGCACAAAACGATTTTATTTTCATTTTTAAAACATATTTTCCTTCTCTGTTTCAATATAAAGTATTTTAATTTTATTATGAAATTTTAAAATGGTTGCTTTTTTATGAGACATTTGATGTGAAGCAGTTCCACTCTATTTTGATAGCACTGCTACTTCACAATTGAAGCAGCCTATAAAAGTGATTGCGGGAAAACATTTACAAAAAGCTCAAAACACAGAATTATTACTATATAGCTGTTTTTCTGTGTCAACTAAACTATGGCACATACATGAAAGAGTTGGGGGGTCTGCTTAAACACCTCATCAATCCCAATTGCTAATACCTGTGAATAAAGGTGAGTATAATGTATCCAGTCACTGCCAAACTGATTCCATTTGACTGCTGTAGTTATGGAAACATGATCCAATAGCAAGGCCATTTCAGAGTTGTTATGAACTTCTTTCATTAACTAAGCTTCAGAAGACACACGTTGAAGTAACAATAGAGAGGGAACATCACCTCTGAAATGTCATGGTATTTTAAGGCTGTGCCATTTCAGAAGATTCAATGAGGGGGGGGAAAAAAACCACCACCTAAAGATTCATTTACCATAGTTTTCTGTCTTATAAACAACCAGGAAAAAAACAAAGTGGGTGTGGGGACAAAACCCCTTGCTCCATTATGCTTAAATTTTCATTTATCTGTAAATTTCTATTTTGATTTTAGTCTACTATAGTGAAAGTAGTTGGTAAATAAGAGTTGACTAACTGCCCTTACAAAAAGTATGCCTTAAACAATAGATCATGGAATCAAGAGGTGAAGGTCCCTGCCAACCCTTTGATTCTATTTTGATGTTGTGAAAAATAGTTAGGTTATTAGTTCAACATATAATTAGATTGCTACATATATTTTATAAAAGGATTAGCTTTGATCTCACATGCACTGCAGAAGCACAAGTAATTACTTCCAGGGAAGGTATATTTAAACATTTCACCCACCCTAAGGTGCTTTTTAAATAAGTATACAGTAGGTCTCCAGATTTAAAAGCTAACTATCTATAAAGAAAAATGTGGGAAAGGACCAAATATAATGAAGTGATCTATACCTACCATGAAAGAATTTGGTTGTATCCATATTGGAAATCCCTCTCCTGACATTTCTTGACAGGATATACCAATTGGTTCTCATGGAAGTACAGAATCTTTTTCAGTTTCCCAAGGTCAGGCCGAAGGGCAGCCAGTTCGGTCAGGTTAAGCACTGAGCTTGCAAAGAGAATCCTAGGAAACAAAGAAATTAGGGTTTACTGTCCCAAGCATGCTTGAAAGGGTCATCCTTTGCTCCTCTTCTCTCCTCTTTCCTCTTCCCACCCCGAGAAAAACATATCCCCTATAGAGACACATCAATAGTTAAGCCTTAATACCATGTAGCAACATTCTAAGTTTTGATCTCTTAAAAAGCAGCTGCTTAGAACTATAAAAGCCCTGAATCTCATTGGTCTTCTCAGCTCAGTTACTGAGATGCAAGGAAGAAAAAAAAAAAAAAAAAGCTGGATGGATTTTATTGAAAAAGGCCAGAAAGCTCTAACTGAAGGACAAATGGAACAAAGATAAGGCTGACTGGGGAATACTCTGCTTGCCAGTTTCATCACACTTTACTTCTTTATGCAACCAACTACTGAAATTCAATATACAAGCAGGAATGGCATGTTCATGTTATGACATAAACCCTTTTGATTTATGCAACAGACTTATCTAGTGTGGTCTTCTACTGTCATGTTTTCTTGCATCCCCCCCACCCCCTTAAAGTATCCTACAATAGTTACATGTTTTTAAAAAATCTTTTCTTTTCCATTACTGGACTGCTAATGGCACCAGATATACAATCTATAAAATCCCTTATATGAGGCACAAATATAAAAAATTGAAGAAAGGCTGATTTTTCATCTTTGGGGGAAAGAAAGGAAACTGGAAGCTTACCTCTCCGTGTTTATAAATGAAAACAAGTGCCTATCTACTCTCTCCATTCCACAAACATTTACTAAATGCCTGCTATGTGCCAGGTTCTAACCAAGAAGAACAAGAAAGATGAAAAAGACAGCCCACCAGGATGAATGCTCCCTATAATAAGGACATAAACAAAACATTAGAGGAACAAACAGAATGGAGTAATAATTGTCTGGGACGAACTGGAAACTTTTCCTTAATGAGGTGCCTACAACATATGGACACAAAGAGGGACAAAGTACAGTCCATGAACAGTTAAAGACATTTAGATGGCATGATTTTGAGAGAATGCCACCTTTATGACATAATGTAGCATCATTTGACCCTTATGGCTGTAATTCTCAGTCTAAAAATTGAGGTTCAAGAAGGTTAAGAGTTTGTCTAGGATCACACTGGTAGAAAGTGACTAAGCAGAGACTGCTGGACTTCTAAGCCCGAACTGCTTTCATTACACCACAGATATGAATTGGTTGTGGACCACTTTACTTACATTGCAAATGCTTTTTTCTGTGCTTAATAAATACAAAGTATCATCCTTATTATTACCATGATTGCAACTATTATAAATCCTCCCTTGCTGACAAGCCAAATGGCTAACTTCAGGTGTTTACATGATCTGCAGCACTAGCCTTTCACATAAGAAGAATGATTACATAGTAAGTGCATATATCATAAATAGGAATTCAAGTGCCTGCTTCATGGGCTAAAACAGGCACATAAGACCAAAAGTCAGTGATCCCTTGTTAAACCCACGTTGCCATATTAATGTTATGATTTATCTCTTTACCTTAAAATAAAAAAAAAGTCTTACCAAGGAGATGCACTTATCTTTTAAATTGTCTATCTATACCCAACTAACAGAAACAAGAAAAATTATGGTCAGATAATGCTATCAAGTAAAAGTCTTTCTAAAACTTGTATTTAAAACTCTGAAATTTGAAGATATTTACTAACCCACAAATCTGATCCTTAGAGAAAACAACAAAATTCTAATTTTAATCAATCAATATTTTCCTTAAAAGGGAATGAATGGCAACTTGCGTGGGTCTAGTTATTGAGTAATCTTTCCTCTTCTCCTTCTGTTATCCCCACTCTGACCATACATACTATTGCAAGCAATTAACTTGCATACTTAATCATTAAAACCTGAGCAAGTGCAATGTTTTTCACACAAAAGGCAGAATCTTTCCTCTTCTCCTTCTGTTATCCCCACTCTGACCATACATACTATTGCAAGCAATTAATTTGCATACTTAATCATTAAAACCTGAGCAAGTGCAATGTTTTTCACACAAAAGGCAGAAAATGCATTAAATGAAGCCCTATAAGACTTCTTAATTACAAAGAAAAAATAGTACCTTTGTAACAGAGATATCTGATAGACACCAACTTAACTTTCTTAAGGAATCAAACTTAATATGATCAATAATGTGACAAAGTGATAGCATGCATTTCCAAATGTGATGCACTGGGAAAGATACAAATCACCAAGAGAATATTCTTACCAGCCTGATCTAAATTTGGTAATGAGGCAATAATCAGAAACGTGTTCTACAAAATAACTGAGTTGGATCTCCAAAAATTTCATTCCATGTCAAAAAAAAAAAAAACCAAACCTAAATTAAAGGAAAATAATTAGATACCCCCCCAAAAAAATCTAATGTGTGATCCTTGATTGGATACTAGAAGGGGAAAAAAGGAGCTATAAAGAAAATTAGGACAATAGGGAAGATATGAATATGGGCTAAATATAATATTTAAATTTTTATCAATCTTGAATTTCTTAAGTATAATAATTTCATTGCAGTTATACAGGAGAATATCCTTATTCTTAGGAGGTGCATGTCTAATTATTTACATATGAAATATCATGATGTCTGCAACTAATTTTTAAACGGTTCAGTCAAAATGCTACTATTAGCAATAAATATACATATATTTACATAGAGAAATTAAAAAGTGTATAAAAACTTTAACATTTGATTAATCTAAGTGAATAGGTATATAATAATCCATTGTCCTATTAAAATTTTTTGGAAAGTATACATTTTTATAAAACTACAAATTTGAAGGAGTATGCGTTAAATGGCAGTTAAGTAGAAGAAAAAATATTTGACATTTCATAAACAATAAACCCATCATACACATATTTTCACCCATAATACAAATGTTAATTTCCTACATGAAAATTATCCTCAGGGTGGACCATCTGCAGCAAATGTTTAACCAAGGCACACCCTCACTCTACTTTTACCACATGCTCCCTCTCTCTTTACCCTACCCACCAGCTGATCCATAATCAAAGAATCCAAACCTAAAGTTGAGCCTTCCAAAGAAAACATCCCAAATAAAAGAATGCAATATATTCAGAAGAAAAATTGCAATGATTTTCATAATACTAACCATTTGAGACTGCTCACACCAACACATCCTTCAGTTTGTTTAATCATTAAAAGGAAATTCATTGTATTTTTATAACTAATTTTGAAATAGCCCTCACTACTTCTAAATGGTGAAATTTTTCCATCATTAGTAAAGCATTTCTCTTTGCTTTTTCACTTGTAAAATGGTAGTTAAAGTAGGCAATAAGCAATTCCTCATATATTTAGCTCAACAATACCAAAAAAGAAGTGATAAATATGCCCACAAAAAGAATGCAGGTATGATCCATAGGCAATTTTTACTGTGCCTCCTACCATCAATTTCTAAAAGTTGATAATGCAATGAATGACATTACTCAATCAGCAGCTAATCCCTAGGCTACCAATATTCATCCAGCCTCAGGTATTATTTAAGCAATAAATCCTAACAAGGTATGCTTTATCATCCCACAGTGTGTCTCAGGCAGGAAAGGGCACAAGGTGATAGCAAAAACCACTAGGAACAAGATAATTCCTGACAGCTGCTGCTTGAGCACAAGTTAAATTGAACAGTTTATCTCAGCATGAAGATGTTGTAAGGTTTTATGTTTAATATTTTTAAATTAACATAAAACCCAGAGAAAGCAGTTGGGCAATCTTTCACAAACATGACATACTACAATCACTGTATAAGCTGGATTAGTACTTATTACCATGCTACTACAGAATTAAGCTGTTTTTAGACCACCAAAGAGCTTTAAATTGCAACTTTTGTCTCTGTAAAAGAAACCTATATTTAAAATGTCTGCTAAATTCAAATTAATGGCTACATCATTAGCTTACCATTTCACCAAAAGTACAAGTAAGCTGCTATTATAATCGTGTAACCAAAATGGCTCTGGCTGCAAGCACATGTACACCATTCTGTGTATTTGGGGCAGTACCCGTATACATTTTGATTTTTCCAATACACATTGTATCCTCAATTTGAGTTATATTTGCTTAAAGAATCCAAAATAATTTAACATGATAAAGTTCAAGTTTAGGGATTTGATTCTTTTCTGCTTGGTTTGAATAAACCAGTTGTTTGCCTTTCACCCTATTTACCTAATACATAAGAAGAAATGCTGAAATATACCTAAGCACTGTAGGAGCGCAACCCTTATTATCAAGATGCCTACTTTTATATTTTAAATGGTATGTGGAAGGACAGTAAAATGAGAAACAGAGGGCAGGTATCAATATTTCAGCCACTGCTCATACACTCTAGTAATAATCCTTCATGGGCTAGGCTATCTCACTCTTGACCCATGAAATCTTTTCAACAGATCCTCTCCTCTAAAACCATTTATCACACAATGGTATAGAGTACACAATTTAACACACATACCAGTTTGGGCTGTGTTACTCATACCTTAATAACTGCTTGCATGGCTTCAGTAGGCCTTTGACAAAAGAGTAACTTCTAGCTGTGTCACTTTGTTCAATACCTAAACTCCTGGTCTAGATTCATGTTACTCAGCATCATTACCAAAGTCTTAGTTCTTTTGCTCCCCCTCCTAAGTTTCTCTTCCTTGATACCTACTCTCCAGGATCCTAGATCCTTTACTTTCTGTCATGTATTATATTCTGTGATGATGGAAATGTTCTGTATCTGCACTGTCCATATATTACTAGTCACATATGCCTATATAGTACATGAAACTGTTGCAAGTGCAACTGAAGAACTAAATTTTTAATTTGATTTGATTAATTTAAGTCTAAATATATGTGGCTAGGAACTACTGTACTGGAAAGCACAATCTGGAGGGACCAACTTCCTCTAACCTGACACTCTTCCACCTATGTTACCTGAGTGCAATTTCTGCTTAACTGATTTTCCTGAACAGACCCTTGACCTACTTATGATAAGCT